CTTTTCAGCGAAAATTAATTCCAGCTAAAATAAAGTATTTTACAGTAGTTACTATGGCACCTACCATATTCATCTCAATTATTAAAATTATTTTTTCTGAAAATAGGTAAATATCACTTGGCAATATTTAATTTTTAAATTAGCAATACACTCCAGCAGTACACATTTCACAAAAAAATGAATGATTTTATTAAGAAAAAAAAATATTTTATAAATTTTCAATGATGGTTGGTGACAAACCAGAATATCCTTACGTATATATCAGTAAACCAGTTAATGATTGAAAAACCGGCAAAGAAATGTAGTGGGTATTACTAAAGATTTATAAAATACTGTTATGCAATTTTCATGACCATGCACCGTGTAATGCGGTGAAGATCTCACCAGAATTCAACTCTAGGGCTCTGCAAACATTTGAAAGCGATCCCGTTACATGTTTATCAAATGAACATACTGCTAGCCAATAGCATCACAAAAAACAGTGGGTGTTTGGAAATGTTTGATTACATAAGCAGAAATAAACAAGATTATCATCACATTTAAAACACACACAATAATTGAGTTCACGCACAGCTCCCTAGCACAGCTAAGAGGCCAAATTCCTTAGCCGTGCTAAGAAAACGTGCGTGAATGCTTAGCACGGGCTAAGGAAGGCTAAGTACGGGTTAAATCTGATCCGAATTTAAGACGCGGTCTAGACCCTTAGCACGGGCTAACGAAGTGTGCGCGAACGCTTAGCCCAGGACTAAGCGCCCTCTCCCCTGCATTGTGCCATGTTCGTATAACGACTCTATTCCACCAGTCATTACTTTGCACTTGCTTCCATACTGATCGGGTCACTGGAGTAGAGCGTACAGCAGCTCCAATTATAGATAAAATAAATTTGGTTCGCTTCGTTCGTAAATAGCGCCTCTTAGCCCGTGCTAACGATTGGCCCTCCCTGTGCGTGGACGCAATTGGGTCTAGCCAAAATGCAAATATGCTAGATAAGCCTAAATCAGCTTAAATCTTAGCCCGTACTTCGTGTAACGTGAACACAACTAATATATGCGTTGTGAATACGCACAGAAAATACCTAAACAGTATGATATGAAAATTAGCGTTTTTTTTCACAGACTCGCTAATTTGTATTAGGAATTCTGGAAATACAAGTTTCGCTTGAAATGACTTATTCGTAAGGGTTCCTCAGGTCCCCTTACCCATAACTCATTTTACGCTGCCCTTCCAGTGGCCATCCCCCATTTTATTAGTATATGCCCCATCTTCAAGACGCATTTTTAAGGGCGAACAGTGAAGCATTTTCACTGCCTGACAACCATCACTGGTGAAAACAACAGTCAAAATCCTCAAAAATTCCATATTGGATTACCCCTAATAGAAGTACCGGTACATGGTACTGTGGAACACATTTAAGAAACAAAGAACATTGTATGATGTAGCTCCACGTCCAAGAATAGTTATCTGAAAGGCATATGCAAATACATATGAGTGTTAAGGGTTCAGCCAGGTGGGATGGGGTGAGGGGGTCTTTAAGGAACTATTTCCCTAAATGGTTTCTATAGACAATGAAAGGCTTATTTGGAGTTGAATGAAGTGAGGTTTTTCCAGGGTTAATATAAATTTACATTAAAAACATATAGACCATCATAAAACACAGCATACATAACTAACATTGGTGTAGCAGCAGTGAGCAACCTAAGATCTTTTAAAAGTGTTGTGTGAATTTATGTTTTTAAATTTAAAAATGGGTAAAATATGTTGCAAAAATTTTAATTTTGAAAGTTACTGTAAAAGGGTTAATTATTTGTTGGGTTTTAATTTTGCTTATTTCGCTGACTGGAAATGCGCTAAATTAAAACCCAGTGAATATGTAAAATTGAGCATAGAACATTACCTAAATGATAAAACAGTGAATTTTAAACCCAGTAAGAATAAGAAATTTTGCAGTACTATAGAGTAGGCTGTTTTTAATCTAAACCCCGATTTTAAAATAATCCTGCTTTTATATTATTATTCTTGCGGACACTGAACAAAGTATGTTTGAGAAGGTAATTAAATAGTCAGACGCGTACGTACTAACGTAGATTGCCAGCGTGAAATGCTAAATGGTACCTACCATCCAATGTACCACGGTGAAGAGCCGTCCGATAAATTCGCCCGTTCACTGCTCATGTTAAAAACTTCACTTAAAAGCGAAAACTCTGTTTGGTAAGGAAAGAACTGGCAGTCCTTTTCCACTCTATGCAGTGCCTCACTGTCAGGTGAATATATTGTCTGGAAGAACTCAAAACTGAACACCTGGGGAGCTGTCCAACCTTTGGTTCCATCTTGAACAACAACTGGCCGTGACGTGTAAGCATACAACTTTTTGAACTCTTCTTCGGAAAGGTTGCGTACTTTCCCCACTTCCGTGACGTTCTTACACAAATCGCAATTGATCGGTGGTCTAAATATGTCCTGTATATATTCTGGGTTATCTACTATGCACGGTTCCTCTTCCATCGTCAAGTCACGCAAATCAAACCAAAGTTCAACAAAACCCTCATATTCTAAAACACCCAGCTTCAAGGCTGCAGCCAGTGAAAACGCCGAGAAAGTGATAACAGCAACCACAGCTACGACAAACACCAGTAATATTGACACAATTTTAGACCTTTCGGGTTTCAATTCCTTCAACGACTTTAAGCGTGCAATTTCTCGGGGTGTCAATCCCAAAGAAATAGCCTTTTGCTTGATTTGTGCGAAGCGACGTTTTACTTCCTGCTTCTGCTCCATCGCCATGTTTTTAAATGAATACCTATGCCTCGCCTTCAAAACACAATGCCTCGTTTTGAATGCAAAGTTGTAACCTACCACAACTTTTGTTTGTCAACGTAAGTACGTTTGACTACTGGTGGCGCTGCACTGACTTGCGTACATGTTGTCGGAGTAATTTCTGAATCATTTATCTGTGAAGCATTGTAATTGAAACATGCAATATTTGTTAATCGCTTTATTCATTTCGTTTTATACAAGTTCAATAATACTGTATTCTGACTTATACATTGTTGCAAAATACGGATTCTGAAGTGAGACGACGACATGAATGCGAACGTGGTAGAAACCACCGCAGTGTGTTCTTTTGTTTCAATTTTTATATTCATCCAATTAGAAGTTTTCCCACTAATTTTCTTACACGGTCAAGAGTTTATCGATGTATATCAAGGGCATACTGCCAATTCTGTATCATTCTTACAATTTGTGTTATATCGTTGATATCGAGTTGTAAGTCTCCGGATTTCCAGCGGGTTTTCCGTTAGTGAATAAATTCTGAGTTTTCATTAAGTCGTTCTTCTGTGGTGATTGGTGCTGATTGTGTAGCAGATAATTTTGCATACTATATTTCGTTACATTTCCATAACCGCAACGTATCGCGCCCCACATTTTGGTACCGAGAAGACCAGGATATATTGCGGATTTTGTGACAGCTATCGCGTACTATAAGGGGTGTACCACCCCTTATAGTATTGCAAAATGATGTCTGTTTCAAACACTTCAGCCCAATCACAATCTACAACCAAAACCGAAAATGTAGCTTCGCTTCGCTCGGCAAGGAAGGTACAACGTGGTTTGGTTACAAGGAACACTAATCGATTGGAAATCCTACTCTCTGATTTTGACAACAATCACGACAAGGTGTTAGCTTTCAACGAGATCGCCGATCTGAATGAACTTATCAACGAACGACGCGCCAAACTGCAAACCGTCGACGAGGACTTACGTCTCGCTATGCATCACGAGGGTGAAGAAGAGTCAACTATCGAAAAGGAAATGGAGGAAAGCTACGATTATACTGATGAACTATCCATGAAATCACGTAGAAGGCAGCGACGCATCGACGCCATTGACCCACGCAGACAAGCACCGAACACAGGCTCCAGCGCCGGTTCAACTCCACGCAGCAACCCATCAGCTAGTACGCACAGAACTGTGAATTTGCCGAAAATTGAATTACCAACATTTTCGGGCAATGTATTGGAATGGATCACATTCTATGACACGTACAGGTCTACAATTCACGATGATAAAACACTCGGAGACATTCAACGATTCGCATATCTCAAGGGGGTATTACGAGGAGAAGCCCTACTCTTGATTTCAAGTTTACCGCTCACAGAAGTGAATTACGCCCAAGCGCTCGCACTTCTCAACGAACGTTACGGACAGAAACATATGATTATTTCCGCTCACATGGAAGCTCTTTGGCAGCTGCAGTCGCCCATTGACGATGTTACGAGTTTACTACGCTTCAATGACACGCTCGAGTCCCATATTCGCGGACTGCAAGCCCTGGGAAAAGATGAATCCACGTACGGCGAGCTACTAGTTCCCATGATACTACCATGGAACTATATAGTTCCATGATACTACGTAAGTTGCCTAATAACATTTGCACACAAATTGCTAGAATCCATGGCAACAAAGCCTGGAATATTGTCGACCTGAGAAAAGCTATTACTGTCGAAATACATGCTTTACAGGCGGGCCTGACAGATGTCAACAATGAAGGTCAGACTCTTGGGGGTCAAATGTCACGACTCTCAATAACCGCTTTTCACGCGCCTACTTCTGGGTATCGTAAACAACGACATGCAGTGAGACAATGCTTATTTTGCAAAGGTTTACATAACCCCAGTGATTGCACAACAATCACCGATCCAAAAAAGAGACTTGACATAGTGAAGAGGGACAAATTATGCTACAACTGCCTTGCAAATCACTTGGTAAGCAACTGCACTTCGAAATTTAGTTGTAAACATTGCGGACGGAAACACCATTCTTCGCTTCATTTCAATGATCGCCCAGCACGGCAAACCAGCTCAAATATGTGTGTGAGCACTCCAGCCAGCGACAGAAACACAACGCAAGCACAGAGCAATGAACATTCGGCAAATGGATTAACCACTACACGCGCAAATGACACACGCGTTCATCTTTCAACTTCACAATTTCGCCAACCTACCGGACCTGTCCTATTAAAGACAGCCGTGGTTTCTGTTACTGCCAAAGATGGGAACATTATTCATGCCAATGTATTATTTGATGAAGGGGCTACAAGGTCATTCGCTACTACCAGATTTGCAGAGAAAATCAGCATGAAGCCCACCCATCGAGAGACTGTCAACCTATCAACATTGGGTCATCAGGACAAGTACTCAAGAACACTATTTAAAGGTGAGATCCATATGCATACCCTGACTGGTGACATTGTATCTATAGAACCTCTTGTTATACCTGACATATCTAACAATCTGACTCACCATGTGACACCTGACTTACTTGATTTGCCATATTTACGTCATCTAAACTTGGCTCACCCTGTATCAATCGATCAGTCATTAACGACTGCCTGGATAAAGGCCCTCCCATGTTGAATGACTTGACATCCATATTGATTAAATTTCGTTCGAACCCTGTTGCTATCACTAGCGACATAGAAAAAGCTTTCCTACAGGTGAAACTAGAACCTGAGGAGAGGAAATTCACCAAGTTTTTGTGGCTCTCAGATTCAGGCGATACAGAGAGTGAGTTCGATACATATCAGTTTAAATCTGTTCTTTTTGGGGCGACACCCTCCCCCTTTATTCTTAA